TAGTACTACTAGTACTACTAGTACTACTAGTACTACTAATACTACTAGTACTACTAGTACTACTAGTACTACTACTACTACTAGTACTACTACTACTACTAGTAGTAGTAGTAGTAGTAGTAATAGTTGCAGTAGTAGTAGTAGTAGTTGTTGTTGTTGCAGTAGTAGCAGAAGCAGTAGTAGCAGCAGTAGTATAGTAGCAGGAGGAGTGCAAGAAGTAGGGGCAGTACAAGAAGTAGGAGGCGTAGGGTGGAGCAGGAGGAGCAGGATCAGCAGGAGAAAGAGTAGCGGCGACAGCAGCATTATGATTGCCGTTATGATATGTAGTAGGTATGTCAAACATCGTCATGTTTTTTTTGCTATTGTTGAACACTCTTCGGTGTTTGGCCTAAACGTGTCGTTGGGTCCTCTTTGTCTGTGGAGAAAGTATGGAATCTTGAGTGTAACATTTCTTCGAGACATGTACACGACATGATGTAACTGTGACTTAAAAGCATTCGGGGCATGGACAGCCGGAAAGCCTATAAGCAGACCCGATTACTGTATTAAGTTCATGTGGGCAGATGTATGGAGTGTGTGCCCAGGCCTAAATGCCAAACCCGAACAAACTCCCAATCTGTCCCAGATTTTCGTGATCTGGATTATCATGATTTCCTCACGCTGCTGCGCGCCGTGCTGCTGTCAAGATACCATGCCGAATGTGGGGGGCAGTTGAGAAAACTTTGACCCTGATTTGCCAAGGGTTTCGGGTCCCTAATCCCTATAAAACCTAAGCCCTAAACCCTAAACCGACTTCGGGTTACACTAAAGTTAAAGGTCACGGTTGAGGATTCGGGTCAACGCAAAAGCCCTGGCTACCCCACAGACCCCATAGAAGCCTCAAAGTTACAAAGCTCCCAAACCGTAACCTAAACCCCTAAAACCTACACCCTAAAACCCTATGTCTTTCTCCCCCTAAACCCCTAAACCCCTAAACCCCAAACCCCTAAACCCTAAACCCGTAACTACAAAAAACACTTCACCACGAAGCCAAACCCCAAGGCCCTAAATTCCTAAAGCTCCAAAAGGTTTGGGGTTTAGGGTTTAGGGTTTAGGGCTTAGGGACCCTGACACCCGTGTATGCTGTTGTAGCAACCCTTTTAGAACCTTTTCTAGGATAGAGACGCCTGAAAAAATATGATTCTATTCCTTAGGGTTCCTTGTTTTTTGTTATACTAGAATATACCCACACCCGTTAAGTATCAAGGCCCCTATATCAGGCCCTACATAATCCCTGAACCCAAGACCACAATCAAAAAACTGAAACTTGACAACACTTACATGTAAAGCAAACTGTAAATACAATTCCCTGTGCTTCCAAGGACCCTATAGTTAGACCCCTAGACTCCAGAAGGACCCAATAATAAGGTCCCTGGAAGCATGGGGATTAACACAACCCTAAAGCCTAAACCCTAAACCCGGCCCTTAAACCCAAAAACAATTAGGACAGCAACTAAACCAGACTAAAGCTTTACAGACTTTCGAGGATCCCTTGCCCCGCAGGTGCCGGCGCCCTGCCCGGTGGGGCCCATGAACCAGGCGATCAACCCGAAGATCCTGGACTATCCGCTCCTTTGGGGTTTATGGGTTTGGGGGTTTAGGGTTTTCAATCACTTATTAGGATTTTGATAGATTGTGTGTGGTTTATGATTTGTCTTGCAGAGGTTTGGGGTTTTAGTCTAAGTTTAAACATGCTTTGTGAAAGGGGGTTTAGGGTTTAGAGGAATTTTGTGCCACTGTTCAGCTTGTTGGCCGACTGTTTGTAGCATGGGTCGCTTGGCACAGCATCAGCACAGGATGATGATGATGATGACGATGTTTATGATGTGGTGATGATGATGATGATGACGATGTCGACGGCGACGGCGATGACCACCGTGCTGCTGCTGATGATGATGGTGATGATGCAGATGAAGATGAAGATGATGATGATGATTATGATGGTGGTGATGGTGGTGGCGACGGTGACGACGACGACGACGACGACGACGACTACTACGACCACGACGACCACGACGAGGATGATGATGATGACGATGATGATGACGACGATGACGATGACGACGATGATGATGCTGGTGTTGACGACAACGACGACGACTACGACGACCCCGACGAGGATGATGAAGATTGTCATGAGGAGGAGGATGATCATGATGACTTTGATGAGGATGGTGATGGGTTTTGTGATGTTGGTGGTGATTTCATGGCTCAGCCAAGAACCCAGGGAGACCCCAAGCCCTTGCGAAACACCGATAAGACCACAGTCCTAAGGTTCATGATCGGAATTGGTGGTGAAGTCGTCACCACGGCTCCCGCGGTCCTTCTGCCATTCTTCTTCCGAAACTTCAGAAACGGCGGAGACACCAGGGCCGAAGAAAGCATTTTTCTCAGCGGGGGTTAGTCGACTGAATGAAACAGAGCCGTATAGCATTTCGAGGATCCTGTTTCTGAACCCTACTATGCCTTGTAGCATCTGAAGTTTGGGTTTTCAAGCCCTACATGAGCCTTGAACCTCGAACCCTAAAGCCCCTCAAAAGCCCTGTCGGGGCGGCACACTCTAAACCCTAAACCCTAAGCCTTAAAATGCCCTCTCAGGGCGGCGACAATATGATGGTCCTGCAGCTGACTCGTTTCCTTTGGGTCGGCCTGACGGCCTTTGGCGCCTTCTGCGCCTTCAGGCCACCTTGGGGTTAGGAAGTTTAGGTGTTTTTTTTGTTGTGTTTTTTTCGGCTTATGGGGGTGCTTAGGAGCCAACTTGCTTTAAATATTGCAATATCAATCGTAAGGGGCGCCATGAAACCTTTGCACCGTAAGCCCTAGTACAACCGCATAGCGATGCCATAGAAAGCCCCAGCATCCTAGCCGTGTAACCTTGAACGCCAATGCATGCTACAACCCTGAAGCCCTAGGCACTAGGAACCAAAGCCTGGAACCCGTTTTTAAAACCCTGAAGCCCTAGACACCAGAACCCCGGTAGCTCTGGAAAGGAGGTTCGTGATGATGCGCCAGCAGCCGGTTGGAGCTGGAGAAGTTAGTCCGAGCACTGTCGCACAAGGAGCCTGGTGGGGCCTGGCGTCTTCGTTTGTCTGTTCGGTTCAGGGTGTTTCAAGGTTTTGGGGTGGTGGTGTTGTGTGTCTATAGGTATGTATCTATGTATGTATGAATGTATGTATGTACGTATGTATGTATGTATCTCTATATATATATACTATGAGATAAATAAATAAACACATACGTATATGTAGTAGCAACAAGAATACGCTACACGGACAAGAGCATGAATCCTGCACTTTGAGTTAAGTTTTCGCACTTTGGCATTAGTATCCTGATCCAGTACTGCAGTCGAATCTGTTATTCGACTATGGGGACTATGTCTCTACTTGTCTTACCTGTCATTATCTTCAGGGTAGTAGTCTCACGATATTCTACCAGTTATTTCGTCAAGCCCTAAACCGTACAGCTCGGTGGCTGAATCGTTTGCATCTCCGGGTTTTGGTGTCAGGGCTGGGGTGCTTGGTCTGTTTCCGGTGTAGGGTCCAGGCTTTACATATGACTCATTAGGTTTTGGTGTACTGTACAGAGCTTATGGTTTCGGGTGCATAGGCTTGCAAGTACAACGTCTAGTAAACAGGACCAGCTTGCTGGAGGTTCGCCAGACTCCCAACTACCCTCTAATGTGCTCGATGGTTTAGACTCATTTCAGACGACCCTAAACCTAAACCGTTAACCTTAAATCTCTAAGCCCGATTCCTTAAAAGAAGCCTGAGATCCTAAACTTTAAGCCCCGGATGTCTCTGTGCCCGGTCGGGCGTGGGGTGTTGGCTTCTGCGATCTTGCAACTTGAAGCCTCACCACAGAAGTGCTGGATGCGAAAGCTTCGTCAGCTACTCCCAGAGTCGATGCCCCGAGTATTCGCAGAGCGAGAACCCACGATAGACTTGCCTGTGCCCTTGTTTTCATGTATCGATAGACTGTAGGGCCTGTAGGGTGGCTCTTAGCTAACATGCTCCGAAGACTTTAACCTGCAGACCCAGTGCTCCACTCCAAAGCCCTCAACAGCAAAGCTCTCCGAATCCTTCAGAGCCCCCCAAACTCCTAAACCCTAAACAGGAGTCGTTGTGGGCACGACTGTCGGCGTCCCGGTGGGCGTTGTGGAACCGAGCAAAGGTGAGCCTGCCCCAGTGGCTTAATTCGAGCTCCTGCCTCTTAGGGGCTTCGGGGGGATTAGGCGTACCCTAAATCCTAAACCCTAAACCCCACACCCTAAACCCTAAACCCCACACGCTAAACCCTAAACCCTAAACCGCTAGGCTTTCGATTTCCGACTTCGGCCTTGGTAAAACCCAGGTCCTTTGCAGTTTCGGCCTAAGTCGAAGCTGAAAAGCATCGAATCCGAGCTGTGCTTGCGCTGGCGAGCAAAGGGAAGCCGTCACCGGATGCATTTTAAAGGGTTTAGGGCTTCGGGTTTCAAAGGGCTTAGGGTTTAGCACATTTAGGGCTTCGGGTTTCTATGATCAGCCGAATGAAAGAAGCCCTGGATAATTACCGATGCTGCTCCTTAGACCTATTCATTCTTGTCACTAGACTGTCAAGTTCGACCCGGGGCCGGATAAGCCTTGAATCCTCCGCCCTGTTGCCGTGTGGCCCGTATAGACCCCTCTCAAGAACCCTCATATCTGAACCCTATTCTAAATATCAGAGTACGGCCAGATGGGCCGCAGCTTTGGAAGTCTATTCAGGAATTTTGCCGAAAGCGGCGTGCAGACAATCTCCTTTTGTTCGAGGACAAGTAGGGCATTAACAGGGCTGTGATGGTTCGTAGGTACAGATCATCCTCTGCCCAGAACCTAGATAATCGTTTGAGTTGAATGTGTGTTTTTCTGCTGGTGGTGCTGGCGTTTGGTAGTCTCCTAGTGGTTGCCAAAGCCCGTCCACGGCCTTCAATGAACTATGACGCTGCGTCAGTGCCCTGTCGACGCCCAAGCTCTAAGCAGCCGATATTTCATGTCAGCCCCACCCACCCATGACAACACAGAGACCCTCAACCGAGCCGCTTTGATCCCTGGCTGATGCTGTGTAGTTGTTCGCTTTTGTTGTGAAGCTACACGTCAGATGCAGTGGTGTAGAGCATGACTTGTGGATGTGTAAGAACATGTAAAACGCTATGCACATCTAACGTCATTCTTGGTTCTAAAACTATTCCGCTTAAACTAAAGTCATACAGTCATACACCATAAAACCTTAAAGCCTTAAAGCCTACACCCTAAATTCACAGATTCGAGGACGCTCCTTGCCCTGGCACGGAACCGAGGCTCATAGTGCTTTGCTAAGGCTACAGAGAGGCTGCTTTCGGGCTTGAGGCTTACAGGTTTGGGGGTATTGGTGTTTAGGGGTTGAGGGTTCAGGGTTGAACGTCTAGCCGCGAGGTGTTTAAAAGGGTCCTAGGGTTCATGTTTGCCCTCTCTGTCACAGTTACTGTCAACCATCATAGCATTCCGTTGCAGTCGTTGTTCCTTTCTCTGTAGTTAGCGTCTGAGTGAGTATCTTAGTCTTAGATTGTTTCTGTTACTGGCCATACACTTTGAGGGAGGGCCTCGGGTCTTGGAACATCTTTGTTTGCACCCTGGCTTTCCTGTAATTATCTGTAATTATGTACATTCTGTACGCATATATATATATATATGTATATATATATGTATATAGACACACACACACACATCTGCATGCAGAAGCAGGCAGACGTACCCGGAGAGATAGGCAGAGAGACCCAGGGAGCGAGAGAGAGAGAGAGAGAGAAAGACTAGCAAAGCCGGCAATCGGTGGTTGAGTCTGTTTGGGCATGAGCTTGCATAGTCGTCGTACAAGGTTTTTGCACAGGCACGTTCCAATGTTTAGTGTGGGGCTGGAGCGCTTTGGACCTGGTCGGGATGGCCGGATGTCACTAAGCGCTTGCGGACCAGGGTCCAGAACAACAGCTGCAACGATGATGCCAGCAGCGGCTGCCCCAGCGGCGCAAATCCATGGTGTGTTGATGTTGGGTGGTCAAGCGGTGGAAAGTTCCTGTGTTGTTCACGTCGATGCTGCATGCTTCATGTGTGATTAGAGGTTAGTGTGCGTGCCGTCGTAGTGTTTAGTATCGCAGAAGTGTAAAAGCCAGAGAAAGTGCCAGCATGAGTAATTATGCCCTCGGGCTCCTGGTTATGATTCTAGCACAGTATAAGAACATAATTACCTCGAAAACCATTTCGAACAACTAGGGACTAGGGCCCCTATCTTGTAGAGCAAATCACAAAGCTACCCGGAGTTTCCATTGTGGCTCGTTTTGGGGGGTCCCCGAACAGGATCCGAAATAGAGAACCGGTGAAACCTAAAACCCTAAAGCCCTAAAGCCCTAAAACCCTAAACCCTAAAACCCTAAATCCCTAAAACCCTAAAAGCCCCTCAAAACCCTAAAAACCCTAAAAGCCCTAAGCCTCAAAGAAGGAGCTCCCATGTGGAGACTCCAGGTCTGGAAACTGAGACATCGGCCTAACATCTTTCGGGCTTAGGGTTTAGGTTTTTGGGTTTTGGGTTTAGGGTTTAGGTTTTTGGGTTTAGGGTTTAGGGTCTTAGGGTTCGGGGGTTAGGTTTTAGGGTTTAGGGTTTAGGTTTTTGGGTTTGGGGTTTCGTGTTTTGGGGTTGCCCCACTTCTGCCTTTTTGGACTCCCCGGAACCTTCTGTCTGAGAGCCTTACGCCCCAAATCCCAAACCTTAAACCCTGGGACCGTACCTCCTAAACTCCTAAACCCTATAATCCCTAGGCCCTAGCATCTAACGCTTAAATCCAAAGCCATACACCCTAAACCTGAAGGGTTGAGCCGTCTTGTTTTTGGGATCCAGGGCTGGTGTCCTGGACTTCCTGGGTTTCTGGCTTCAGGGTCCCAGAAAACGGGGCCGGGCGATCCTGTGTAAGTGCGTTGCTACCCTAAACCCCTAAACCCCTAAACCCTAAGTGACTAAACCCCTAAACCGCTAGACCCTAAACCCTAAACCCAAAAAGTCCTGAGATTTGAGTCCTTGCTCGGGCCCGAAGGGTCTTAGGGGGCAACTTTAATTCAGCTTGCAGGCCGTATGTGCAGCTTGATGTACCTAGCTGGCGAGCGGGGTGTTGTTAATGTTTTGGAGGGTTTCCTAAAGGTGTTATAGCGCTTGATGGAGGCTTTACCGAGCTTCAAAAGTTTTGTTAAAGTTTATCAAAATTTATGCAGGTCCGACTGTTTAAACACTTTGTAAAGCTACACCAGCTTTTTTGCTCCTTTAGTGCAATCGGGATGCCTTATCTTCGGGTCCCTACAACAGCAAGCACCCACTGTTGACCGCATATGATAGAGTCCCTTTTTTCCCGAAATTTACGGTCAGCACCGGCTTCAATGAAAGAAAAGCCACCCTCAACAGAAATAGGGTAGGACCCTCTAGGTGGGGAGGGTATTGAGAAAGTCGGAGGGGAGCTCCCATTGCCGGTGCAGCAAAGGCGATCCTGGCGTCTTTGTGCAGGCGGGTGGTGCAGATGGACATCCGCGGCGAGACACCTTAATCGGACCCTATTGGACCTAAATTGTGCTCTCTTCACTTTCAAGCTTGACATGGATTTGAGGTTTGGGGTCGCGCTAACAGCTGTAGAACTAAGCCCAAAACAGTAGGTTTTTCCAATCGGGGCGTCAGCCACCTTCTGGCCCTGGGGACGAGGTAGACTTCCAGCAGCACAAGATCCATTCTTGCAGAGCCCACCTGGAAACCAGAGGAGAGGGTTCTTAGTCAGGCTCCTTGCAGGCCCTTAAAGCGCACAAACCCCAAACCTTCAACTTTAGAACCCTGGGCCGATAAATCCTAAGCTTTCCCTTGAACCACACTCCTGCAGGCACCGGGGCCCAAGTTCCGAACTCAGCTTGAACATTTAAAGGTTTGCGGGTTTTGGGTGTAGGGTGGAGGGTTTTGGGTTCAGGGTTCTCAGCTTGAACATTTCGAGATTTTCGGTTTTTGGGTTTTGGGTTCAGGGTTTTGGGTCTTCGTGCAAAAAGTTCTAAGACCCGACACCCCAAACCCCAGACACGAAACCAAAACGATCCCCACGAGCCTTGTGGAGCTTCAAAGCCAGGGCTGCA